CATCTAAAGAAATAAAATGAGAATTATAAAATGAACTAGAATATTTCTTATGGAAAATAAAAATGGAAAAGTCATATCAATTCCATTAGTAAATTGTCAATTAAAGAATAGATTTTGGGGGAAAAATATCTTCTAAAGTCTAAATGGACTTAAAAAGTTAGAAGAGTTAGGCAGTGGAGATTACAATAGTCAAGAGACATCTTTGTTTCACTTTTAAGCTTTTTTTCAGAATATGTAAAGAGATCTAAAAATGAAAGTACTGTAATATTGAAGGTCAATTTTGGTCAAAGTAGGAAAAAGAGATTCAGAGTTAAGTTAAAATTTCGTATCTTGTCAGCTGCATCCTTTCCTAAATTTAAATGCATTTTTAATTTAAATTAATTATCATCAGAATTCAGATTATAAAAAAAGTATGGTTGTAAAAGTATTAAAAAGCAGCTGGATTCAGAAACCAATTTATTTTCCCCTTCTTATTTCAAAAACAATTTTCAAAGTTCTAAAGCCATCCCCCAGGTGCTTCCTGCCAGTTGTGAAGGACGTTCTATTTAAGGGTGACAGGGAACAATCCAAATCACCTCCTCTCTTCCTGCTGGCTCCCAATGTGTTACAGGGAAATTGAGAGTTTGAAATGGAGAGTTTTAATTAGACAAGCTCTCTATGCTGTTGGTTTGTTTCCTTTATTTTAAGGCAGAAGTCTTTGTATGATAATGGAGTAGCTTGCACAGCCATAGAGAGTCAGACCTTAAATGGAAACTTCATTTATGTTTACTTTGGGGCTTATTTGTTTTTTGACACCTAGATTCTACTCCAATGCGACTGCCTTTGTTTAAGAGGAGTTTTGAGGGTGAGGGAGCTGAGTTTTGAAAGAGCCACTTTCCAAAGAAGCAGGTAATTTGTGAAATAAAATACTTGTCAAAATCCTGTAATTCCCAAAGAGTTTGCTATGATCTAAAAGGTACTACATGTGCCACTTTGATCACTTATTAAGCAATTGAATAGCAACTTGAGCCATAGTTTTTTTGCAACTTGACTTACAGCTTGGTCTCTGGTTATAGTTTGGTTTCATCTGTAATAGCTGTTAAACTAAAAAACTTAAAAATAAGAAATGAAGTTGTTTCTGGATAGGTAGAATGCTTTGAGCATTTGAAGTCATAAGCAGAAGGGGAAGAATCTAGATAACACGGTTGGCGCACTGTGGTAACAGCCACTGGCATAGTTAATTCCCTCTCCAGAACCACCTTTTCCATTGCAGAAAATCAATTCCTTTGTCCCCAAAACTGAACACCCCTCTGGTATCACGAGTGGTGGTATACCAAAATTAACAAACACAAAAGGAAGGAGAGAAATCTAGGAGAGGGGGATAGAGTGGGGATGACAAGGAGCTGGAGAAGGAGGAACTTTTTACCACAGTTGTGCTCAATCGGATGTCTTTTGAACAGAACTAATTGAAGAGGATATTATTAAACATTACATTTTGTGGGGGGGTTTTCCCATTCTGTCCCAGGATTTCTATCTGGAGTCACCGGCAAAGCTTGAAGCCATGTGCCTGCCTTTTAGCTCTGAAGTCTCTGGTCAGGCGGCTCTAAGGCTCTCCAGGCTGCTGGGCTCAGCCTCTTGCTGGTTCTAAACGCGGGCCCGGCTCTTAGCACTCCAGAGACATTCCTCCTGGAATAAAGATTTAACTTGCAGTTCATTTAATTAGCAAAGGAGCAAGCTTATTTGGTCTCAATTCTAATTATGCTATTTTAAAATTAATAGTATTTTAAGAAAAACCCTCAATTATATTTACAACTTATAAGATAGGAATTTATTTAAGACTGAAATATTAATTAGTGCACCTTTTTTGGAATATGGTTTGGAAATACTTAACATGTTAATACATGGTCCTGGCTGGGGAGCTCAATTGGTTAGAGCATCGTCCTGATATGCCAAGGTTGTGGGTTCAATACCCATCAGGGCATATAGAAGAATCAACCAATAAATGCCAAAATAAGTGGAACAACAAATCAGTGTTTCTCTTCTTCTCTCTCTCAAATCAGTAAATAAAAATAAAAAATAATGCTAATGCACATATTCTTTGACCCTAAAATTCCACTGCTGGAAATTTATTCAAGATATATATCTCCAGAAACACGTTAGTATAGAGATATTTCTTGCATTGTTGTTTGTAATAGCAGAAAGCTAGGAACAATTGGTAAGGGGACTGAGTCAATGAATAGTGGTGCATTCTATACCATGGAATATTGTGCAAATGTGTATGAATGAGGTTGAACTTTTTGTTACCATAGGTACATATAAAGCTATGTAGATAGATTCTCAAATGTTAAATTAAAAAAAATTGCAGAATTGCAAAATGTAGAATTCTATCTAGGTGTGCTTTTTAAAAACAATTTAAATATATGCTTATCTTGCATTAAAAATCTCTGGAAGAAAAGAAAAAGGATTTTTTTTTTTTTAACAACAGTCACCTCTGGAGAGCGGGAGAGGTTGGCCATTTTATTTTTCCCCTCTCAGCCTTCTGCACTGAGTAGATTTCTAACCATGGTAATAACCATGCCATTACTTTTAGATGACTTGAGAACCAGCTCATAATAGGAGGTTCCATTACACGTACATTAACAGAAACAGGACAGGACGGACGCTCTTTTCTGAGCCCGCAGGCGGGAGCCTCTCTGCCTAGCCACATTCTCCTCCGCGTCAGGGGCACTGAGGCTACGCGAACAGATGTTAACCCCTTCCGCGTAAACACAGCTGTTGACTCTCAACACGCCATGCATCCGGTGTGCTTTCCATTTCAAACACGTTGGCCTCGTCAGTTTCTAAACACCTCCTTTCCTCCCAGTCTAGCTTGCAGGCAGAAGGTCCCGGAGCTGAGCGGCGCGGCGCGGCGCTGTCCGGGAGGAGCTGCAGGAGCAGGGACCGGGCTGCGCTCGGCAGCTGCTCACCGGCAGCTGTTCGGGCATCAGCGGCGGCGCCACGGCCAGTCCCCGGCCCCGTGGGCAGCCCGAGCGTCCCAGCCCTGCGAGCCGCCGGGAGCAGCGCGGGTCCAACATTCCCCAGGAGGAAGAGCGGAAACTGATCCGAGATTCCTCCTCCCGCACACAGGCACTTTCTTCTTCTTAAATTCTGTGGGGTTTTTGGTTTGTTTGGTGTGTTTTTTTTTTGTTTGTTTTTTTTTCACTTCTAGTGCTGTCCTTTTCATTCTCCCTTAACTAGTTCCTAGAAACATCTGCCTGCTTCCTTTCTGGTCTGCTAGGCGTAAATCAAAGTCACTCCTTCCCCGTCTCGCTGGGGCCGGGGTTGACCTTCTGTGTTAACCAGGAACCTTCTCTCTTCCCGGGCTTCATCTTTAAACGCTTTTGAAGAAGTTGCGTTTGAAAGTCTGCAGCTTCAATATTTCTTCCAAATCTAAAATGTTCCTCCTCTAAAAAATTATATTTCAAGAAAGCATTTTTTTTTAAGTCATTTTGCTCCAAGGTTAGTATTGTGAGCCTTAACTACTACAGTGCCAGCAAGTACGGGCTTGTTAACCAGGCACGGTTTAAGGGAGAAGCCAGTAAGTTTAAAAAAAAGTTAACTCATCGTATTACCAGGTAATTTCTCTCATTTCTTCACTAGCTCTAATGTGCTTCTCGAGTAGATATAATATTAATGAAGGGCTGTGATTTTCATGTGTAAACTGGGAAGCTAATTTTTCCCGAGTCCGTTTCTCTCAAACATTACTCTGCCTATCCTCCAGAAAACAGCAATCAAATCTCCAGGTTAACCCCAAAGTAACCCCCACCCCCCGCGTTCCAGGATTGAGAAATGTTATTTAGAAAATAAAGGGGGAAATATGCATTTTTCTAAACGTTTGGGGGCTAGTCTAGTGTCAGTAGCTAAAACTGTATTTTACTGTATCGGTAACTCTTAAAAGTCCAGATACTTATTTTTGCCATAAATCCATACTAACAATCCAGTACTTTGTCAACTTTCTCAGTTTGGGCACTAATGGAAGGGTGCTATTAACAGCCCTCAAAACTGAAGTTCCTTTATTTCTTTTGCCATTTGAGAAAAAGTTTGAGAAAAAGTTCTGCTACAAAATTGTAATAACATTAAGTTCCTACAAATCAACTTGGAGATATCTAAATGTGTGTTTCCTAGAAAAAGCACCAGACATCAGTTTTACTGGCAAACTTCAAAGTATCTCATACCACAGAACTATATACATTTCTGGACCTCACAGGAAGCACGGCCAGGAACTTCAGCCAGCCAACCAAAGGTCTCAGCTGCCACTCCATCTGCAACTCAGCAAGGCAGCAATAGGGAAATTAACCACTGCTACCAAGACAGGACAGGCACTCCCCACCCCCCACTCCCCACCCCCCAAAAAAAGTAATGGATAGAAATTTCAAATCCACCTTCTCAATTTCTGGTGGGTTTTGTTGTTTTGTGGTTGTTAATCCTCACCCAAGGATATTTTTCTACTGATTTTTAGAGAGAGTGGAAGATAGAGGGAAAGACAGAGACAAACATCGATGTGAGAGAAACACATCAATTGGTTGCCCCTGCATACGCCCTGCATGCCCTTGATGGGAACTGAACCTGGGACTCTTCGGTCCACAGGCTGAAGCTCTATCCACTGAGCCAAACCAAGTATTAGATAGCTCATTTTGTGATCACTATATTTAACTAGAGAACCAGTCATGAAATTTGTGCATTGGTAGGGTCTCTAGGCCTGGCCAGCTATCAGGGCCGATTGGGGCCTTCCTTCCCCAGGCTTCTGGCTGCTGACCTTCCTTCGTTCCACACCGCCCCCTGGTGGTCAGCACACATCATAGTGGGCAGTTGAACTCCCAGGCAGTCAAACTCTCCAGAGAACATTTTGCATATTAGCCTTTTATTATATTGGATTATATGATTTCTGGGCGCAATTTCTCGTTTTTGATTACATAGAATTATGCAACCCACCATCACACTAAACTCACACAAAAACAACCAGAAAGCCCAAGTAAATGGGATTTTTATTTGCACATTCTGTGTAATTTTATGTAAAAACAAATGACAGAAAACTTGAGAATTTTAGGTAAAAGCACCATGTCCTAGAATGTCACAGTTGGTATAAATTCTGGAACTGGAGTATGATACAATTGATGTACATAAGAACCTTGAAATAGGAAGTGCCTTTGGAATCTATCAGTCATTTATTCAACTCCTAAAATGAAAAACATAGTGAGGATTACAAGGCATTTCCTGCAGAGAATTCCCAGTCTAGCTAAAAAGATAACACTGTATAAGTTTAAAAAAACAACAACAAAAAACTTACAGGATTGTCAGATAGAGAGGAGCAAGGGATGGTGGTTTTTGGTTGTCTTTCCATAGTGCCTGATTTTAAACCACTTACTTACTTACATGTATGACTTTGAAAAAGGTTTGAGTTAAGTCATGATTGCAATGGAAAGGGGGGAAAGGGACAAACATGGCAAGAAATAGGAAGAATTCTGCTCTGGAAGTAGGGTGCATGTGGGTCCCTCCCTCTGCTTTCTGCCAGGATTTATCAGCAGGTTCACTCTGCCCCCAGAACCTCCCACAAATTCTCCCTCCTCACCTTCCTTCCCATTCCTGCTTTAGGTTGAAGTGACCTCCTCACGAACACCTTCCTCTGGTGCATGAGTTCTGAGCTTTTATGACCCCTTTGGCAGTCAAGGTGAAAACTATGGAACCCGTTCTCAGGACACAGTGTTTAAATCATATAATTAATTATAGAGATCACAAAAGATGGATTCTAAAATGCACATATACATCATTTTTAAGTTGTGGTGTAATAATACATGTTCTCCTTTATTAATTCATTAAATGATAAGATGTAGCTCAGGGTCTAATGGCTATAGTAATTTGGGTTTAGTGAAACATGTAAAGTGTATTTTGAGATATCTGCAATAACTATACAATGATACCAAAATACCTGACTTCTACTGGCGATAAACTCACTTCTTCTGCTAATTCTACTGTCATCTGCTGCCTACAAATAGTTGAAGAAGATGCTTAATTTCAGTTAAGAGTTTAGTGACAATAACAATGTCATTTTCTTTTCTCTCCAAGCATACCAACCATGGACCTCTTGCAAGTCCTAGGACTGAGTAAGAAGCCCTGCTCTGGGTCCTGGTTCTCCAGATCAGCCTCCCATCTTGCCACCAAATCTGATGCTGTCATCCTTCTGCTCAAAAAGTCTTCAATGGGTCCCTTACTTTCCAGGTGGCATACAAACTTCTGAAAAGCAGGCAAAGCCCTTGGTGCTCTGGTCTCTGCTCACCAACTCAGGCTTATTCCCCATTCCCAAAACTATTAGTTTCCTATTTTGCATTAGAAGCTTCACACAATAGAACTTTGCTCTCTCATAGCTTCATGTCCTCTTGGCTTGGAACTCCCTCATCTGTTAGTCAGGCCAACTCCTTATCTTTTTCTTTTAAATCCTCATCCATGATATATATATTTTTTTCTATTGATTTTAGAGAGAGGAGAACAGAGAGGGAGGGAAGAAGAGAGAGAAAGAGAGAGAGAGAGAGAGAGAGAGAGAGAGAGAGAGAGAGAGAGAGAGAGAGATCGGTTGCCTCCCTCACCCAGAAATTGAAACTGCAACCTAGGTGTGCCCTGACCAGGAATGTACAGGATGGCACTTAATCAACTGAGCCACCTGCTGAGCTGGCCAACTCCTTTCTTTTCTCCACGCTGAGGCCTTACCTGACACCTTCAAGAGTTTCATCTCTGCTTCCCCTACTCTTTGTATATTTGTTATCTTATTGTATAGATGACCCTTGAACAATATGGGGGTTACAGGCACCAAATCTCCTACCTCTCACAATCGAAAATTCACAAATGACTTTTTACTCCCCTAAAACTTAACTACTAACATCCTACTGTTGACTGGAACCCTTGCCGATAACAAAAACAATTGATTACCACCCATTTTGTGTGTTATATATGTTATATGCTGCATTCTTACAATAAAGGAAGCTAGAGATAAAGTTATTGAGAAAATATATTCACAGTATTAATTGGGGGGAAAAATCCTACACAGTCAAACCCTTGTTGTTCAAGAGTCAACTGTACTATAACTGCTGGTAAGTGTGTCTTCCCACTACCCACAATCTCCTTAAGGGCAGAGACTATTTTTAACTTTCTCCAGGATTTTGCCTTGTGCCTAGCACAAGTAGATACTCAGTATGTATCTATTGAGCGATTGAGTGAATAACTAAATAAGTGAAAAAAATAAATATATGGGGAGGAGTGAGGGATTGGAATGGAGGGTTGAGGACAAATATGTGATACCTTAATCAATCAATCAATCATCAATAGAGAATATATGCAGAATTATCACAACTATGTAAAAAAACAGCATAATTTTCAGTGTTGAAATAAAAGTGAAAATTACTCAAAAAAAAAAAAAGATAAATATAAAGAGAAGTCAACCTCTGGCTGGTATTGCTCAGTAGTTGAACATCGACCCATGAACCAGATCACCAGTTCAATTCCCAGTCAGGGGACACACCCAGGTTTGAGGCTCAATCCCCAGTAGGGGTCGTGCAGGAAGCAGCTGATTGATGTTTCTCTCTCCCCCTCCCTTTCTTTCTCTCTTTCTCTATCTCTAAAATCAATAAACATATCCTCGAGGATTAAAAATAAATAACACTACAATTTCTGATTTGGGTTAATGTAGAAAAATGAAATGGAGAATGAAAGGGGAAATTATGTAATAAAATTTTGAATTAATTAATTTTTAAATATTTTAATTTTTTTCAAAGATAATAACTCATGATACAGTAGAGGATAATTGTCCATTAAAACACAGCATTTTTTCTGGCATTCTGATTATACATAAATATGCTATAGAAAAGACCCCAACTAAAAACAGGTTGCATTCTAAAACAAGACTTGTAGACCAGTTGTCTGGAATTTATAATACAACTAGAGACCTGGTGCATGAAAATTCATGCACTGGAGGAGGGGGGGGGGATCCCTCAGACTAGCCTGCCCCTCTCACAGTCCAGGAGCCCTCAGGGGCAGGAGGTGACCCAGTGATCAGGGGAAGGCAATGCCCCATCACACCTCTGCTGCTGCCACTGCCAGCAGTGCAAGCCTCAGCCAGCCCTGGTTACCTGAGCCTCAGGCAACCCTGGGCGGCTGTGGCCCTGAGGGGACTGGGGGACTCTGGAGGCAGGCTCACTGAGCTTCCTGCCACCCATGGGGCTGAGGGGACTGGGTACCACAATCTTGTGGCTGTGGGCACTGCCATCTTTGAGGGTGGGGCAGTCAATTAGCATATTACCTTATTGGCTGTGGTCACCTCCATCTTTGTGATGGTAAGAGGGTAATTAGCATATTCCCTCTTTACTAGATAGGATTTTCCTTAGAAGCCAATTTAAATCAGTGATAAGGTATCCAATTTTCACGCTAAAGTTCATTTGATTTATAATGTGCCGGAATGGATCTACATTTAATTTAAAATTGGCAGAAAATAATATTATTCAACACTATTGCAATATAGCTAATTAAGCAAAATACTAAGCAGTAGAAGTGAATGTCAGCATTATTTGTCTTGAATATTGACAAGGGGGGAAAGATGGGTTTAAATATAGCAGGGCGAGGAAGCCCAGGGAGACATTTGTGAAAAACAGAAGGAATCTCTAGTTATTTCAGAGGCTTTTGAGATGAGTAGCCCTAGCTCTTTAATATGTATAATTTCACTTCAAGTCCTAGGACCTTCCCTTGTGGCTCACAAATGACTCACACAAAGAGAGAAATTATTTTGCAGTAATTGAAAAGGTTTTAGAAGACAACAAAGAAAGGAAGAATGAAATTAAAGAAGCTATGTGGATCCTATAAAGTTTACTTAGGTTGAATTAGCCAAACTAAAGAGAAAAAGGAAGAAAGTATACATGGCATGGTATATGTGGTGGTGATTATTGCTGCTCACCAAATATTTGATTTTCTCCTCTTGGGCCCAGGGGACTGCTTGGCACCTTGTGGTTGGGTGGCACCAGAGTCCTGACCAAGGGATTGGGAGAAGTGATAGGGCAATTAAATGCTAACAGAGATCCTTGAATTTCTCCCTCCACACTGGCTCAGCAACCTAGCCATAATGGAGGAGGTAGCTGCTTTGTCAGCCTGGGTTCCTGAATGACTAAGAAAAGAGCCTACCTATGACACATGACAAACATAAATGGGTAGAGAAATCTTCATTATTTCAAGATACGAACAATTGTAATTTTAAGCCTCTGAGGCTTTGGGGTTCTTTGTTTTGCAGTATAACCTAACTTATTATGACTGACGCATTCATTATTCATATAATTTGCCTCCAGAGAAAGGAAAAGGGTTATAAGGAAGAGATGGTGGGTTATAGCTGCACTGGATAGATCCATAAAGGAGATTAGAGAAAGCAAGGAGAGGTATAAAATCTGATGGAGGAAATCCTTCCAAGCTGTATGCTTCAGGTTTGGGGAAATCTTGTATCATCTCTGAAATAAAAATCCTAATAATACCATACTCACAACTGGGCAGACAGCGTCATAGCCCTCTACTAACTGCATATGACTAAAAGGTACATGGCCTAGCAAACACCATTGAGGTATATGCTGGCTGCAGGCCTCAGAGCTTAGAAGCATTTGTAAGCATACTGAGAAATAAGATATAAGAATGAATAAAAGCATGGGTTTGGAGTCAGGCTGGCTTGAGTTCAAATCTCAGCTCTCCCTCTTAAGTCATTAAATCTTTCTGTGTCAATCTCCTTATCTCTAAAGTGGATATAAAAGCAGAGCCTACTTAAAAGGTTTGTTGGGAGCACTAAATGAGGTCATATTTGTAAAGTGTCAAGTGTAATGCCTGGCATTACTAAATGTTCTTTTTCCAGTTCCCTGGAAGGGAAGCCCAAGAATTAGTTTGTTATAGAATGGCCACCTCACTGCCATGCCTGGAAAATCATAAATCCCATGGTAGCTGCAACCTGGAACTCTTGGGACTTTCAGCCATTAGCAGGCTCAGAGATGTGCTTCTGCCTCTGCCTGTAAGGTCTGCACACACCCACCCTCCTAGAGTGTGCCCCAAAATCAGAGGTGTGCCCCACTTTAAAACAGATCCAGAGAGATCCAAATAGGCAAAGACTAATAGATTAGGGCAGAATCATTTATGCTCCAAGATTCTTTTCACTGTACCAAAGAATCTAAGAATTCCCTTAGAACTTTCCAGTTTTTCTGTGATATCTTTTCATCTTCTTTTCTTTCCTTCCTATTCTGTTTTCCTTCTTTCCTTCCTTCCTTCCTTTTTTTTTTCCTTCTGTTTTTTCTTTGACTTGTGACAGAAAAAGAAAACTAAAGCTCAGTAGTATCCTTGTCCACTGAAGATCAATCAGAAAAGCAAACAATCTATGTAAATGGGAAAAATTATTTGCAAAACATATCATTTGCCCTCAGCTGTCTGGGATCACATCTGTGATACTGACTCTGGGAGCAGAGCAAAGATAGCCATCCAGGTCCCTTGATAATGAAAATTCATTCGAAGCGTTATTGTGATGATGGCCAAAACACAGCAGATTCCTATTTCTCCATCAGAACCAAAATCTGAAAATCCAAGTCCAAAATACTCTTTGCTTATAAGGGTAGCACTCAAAGATCCACAGCCAGACGAAAATGCAAAATTCTTTTAACCAGTTGTTGAAAAGTCCAGAGTTAAGAGGAAGTTACTGTTTTGTTTTTGTTTTTCAAAATAAATGAGAATATATTAAGGCAGAAAGACAAAATCTTCCTACCGTTTAAGTAGAAACTGAGACTACCCAGAAATGTGGAGCTTGCCTCTCCTCTGGCACTCCCACCCCATTGGGAGAGAGACTGTTCTCCTATCCGGGCACAGGGAGTACTTCCCTGGAGCAACCAAAAAGCATGAAAGCTCCTCATTTTACAGACGGAATAACAGGCTCTGGGAGACTCAGGGTTTTGTTCTTGGTCCAACAACAGAAGTGGACCCCAAGTTCTCAACTTCCTAATCCAGAATTCGGCCCAGTGCACCTCAGCTTCCTACTTTCCTGGGAATGGACTCTGAAAGCTACCAACCTCCCCCAGTGTAGAAGCTGGCCTTCGAAGAGAAGCACGGGTCTATGGAACCCAAAGCTCCAAACTCCAGCACAAATGTGAGCCTTCAGACAAGGGGTGTCGGTGTCTGCACCTTCCCCAGCCTTCTCCCCAGCCACTGCCTCCTTCCCACCCCTTCACACCTATCGGCTCACACCTGACCAGCCTCCTGAACTCCACTCTTTTTTTTTCAAGCCATTTTCCAAAGGGCCTCCAGAGGATATAAAATAAAAGGCTAGTTCAGTTACTCGCCCATTTAAAAGAAGCTTTTCTCCACAGCCCTCTGGATAAGTTCCAAGTTCTTCAGCAAGGCCTACAGGTCTGTGCCCTGCTTACCTCTATCCTCCTCTTCAACCTTTTTGCGTAAAGACCTCCAAGGAGTCTAACGACATTAATTTGGCCCTAGCCGATTGCTCAGTGATCAGAGC